TCAGGTATTAGTATTCAATGACATAATTAGGATCATTGAATGTCTGGGTTGAGTGGGAATGAGTGGTATGAGTGCCTCGGAGTCATGCAAACAATCTTTGAGCTTAAAATTGGGTCAATCCTTGTGTACGCTATTGTAACGCATTATATAATTCATAACCAAACTAATAATTTTTAGTTAATTGCTTGTAATTAATAAACAAAAGAAATTATTTTTGCAGTCATAAACAATTAACACAATTATTTATACAGAATATTCTTGAAAAAATACTCGAATATACTGTGAATTTAAAAATTTACACATGAAATATATTTTTAAAGTTCTCATTTATCCTAAAAACCTATGTAAAAATCTAACTTAAGTTGCCTAGTACAGTTAAATGATTAGATAGCAAAAATTAATTTCCAAATGCATATGATACCTAGCTCACTTTATTCGTACACAATTAAATTAAGCACCAATAATCAGAATATATTAATTAAATGATCTCTAATATAATATACAATCTGGGTACTGTATTAATATAGACCGAATATGAATCAAATCATATGAAAGTAACTTATTTCCCACTTTAGAAACAATTATAAAACTAATGAGTATTTTATAAATTCATTTGCAATTCATGTGTAAATGAAACGAAAAAAGTTTTCCAACCGATTGTCACGTTGTCTATGACGGGGACACCGATTGGCAGACCAGACGATAGCCAAAAGTTGGTCCAAAACTCAACGATTGTGTGAACTGTTGAGTGACTCACGCATTGAGTGAACGTCTCATCTGAAGAGCATTGCATCGACTCATACGACAAACACCGGAAGAATGGGCGCCACAGACAGGACTCGAGTGATGGATCAGTTGGAGTACTACTTCTCGGACGTGAATCTCATGAACGACCACTTCATGAGACGCGTCGCCCACAAGAACAACGGCTGTAAGACGAGTCACTCAATCGCATCCCACTTATCATTCATGGCATTCAATGACATCTCTTCGCGAACAGGGCTTCCGATGAAGACATTGATGCGATTCCGACGTCTGAACGCTTTGGTCAACAACTCGATGGATGTGTTGACGGACGCCGTGAAGAACTCGTCGTCCGATTTGATCGAAACGAATGACACCATCGATGGGATCCGTCGAAAGCCATGCAAACCATTGCCGCAGATGTCGGACCAACTGATGGCGAGTGTGGACGAGCGCACGGTTTACGCGAAGGGCTTCCCGAAGGAGGCGACCGTCGATGAGCTGATCCAATGGGCGCAACGCTTCGATGGCTTCGTTTCGCTCCAAATCGGTCGCCACCGAAGCGGCCGTCGCTTCAGTGGAAGTCTTTTCATGACATTCGCCGACAAGTGTTTGGCCGACAAAATGCGGAACAAATTGGGCGTCAAATACAACGACAATGAGCTGCAGATGGAAACCAAATTGGAGTACAATTTCCGCACAAAGGCTTTCATTGATGGGCAGAAGCTTAAGAGGTATGCCATCAATACATCCAATGATATATCAATTGAATTCTTGTGATTAACAGTCAGCCGAAGACCAATGGTGTAAGTAATGGATTGTCCGCCAAAGACTTGATTCCCGACAAATCAGTGGTGATTAAGATAATGGGTTTAAAGCGAAGCGTTTCTACGGATCGGCTCAAGAAGTTCTTCACGCCTTACGGGAAAGTGGTTTACTGTGGGCGCCATCCGGACGGCCACTGTTTAGTTCAGTTCGCCAACTCTTTGGATACTTTGAACGGCTTATCAGCAATTATGGCGCCAACTAATGGCGGAATTGATCCAAAGATGGTGATCAACGGTCAGGAAGTGTCGGCTCAGGTGTTGAGCGGTGACGAGGAGAAGCAGTTCTGGATTGTGGCCAACCATAAGAAGTCGGTTCGCAGTCAACGCAGAGAGAAGTTGAACCACAAGAAGGACCGGAAACGGACGGCCAGTCAGACCGGCGACCAAAGCGCCAAACGGTTGGCACAGAACTAATGGACAGGACTTACGGACTCAGGACTTACGCTATGATACATCACTTAACCACTAATTTCTTTGTTGTTTTCATTTGAATTACTCTTTTAATTGCTTTTTTTGTAATTGTGTTTAAAATGTGAGATATATTTAGTCTATTTTCTGTTTTTGTTTCTTTTTGGATATTAATTATGATTTAAACCACACGTGCTTTCGTTATTTCATATTTTCTATCATTTGTTTGGTTAACTAAATTCACACTTAAAATAATCTGTATTTTTTGACATTTTCTTTATTTTTGTTTGATATAAAGTTTATTAGCATCTGATTTGCTTTATTTTATTTATTTCGGTATATTTGCACTGTTTTAGCAATGGTTTGACTTATGAAAGCTATGTGGACAGGGAGTACACAACTTTTAGAATATATATTTTCAAATCATGAGTTCATTTTGTATATAATACTAAACATATGGTAAGAACATAATTCATGCTTTAAATTCATAATTTATTCACAAATTTATGTCTTGTTTGTTAAAAATAACTTCTTTTGATTGGAAATCCATTGATTTGGCAGTCATTGTGATTCATGTTTTTTGAACTCCAAGTTGACCACAACTACCACTGAATTCCTAATGGGATCTATACTCTGAACGCAACTCATGGCATCAAATGTGGTGTCATTATAGCCCAAGAATTTGCCAAACATTTTGTCATTTGATTGAAAGCCAAACATCCCTACGAAAGGAAAGGCCGATTGGAAGGCAGACGTGAACTCGACGTCAAAGTTGTCTGAATTGGCAAATATGAAGGCAATAGATGTGGAGTTCTTGTAATCACTGCAATCAAAGTTCAAACGGTTCCTGAATTTCAATAATTGTGTCAAATAGGTGGACGTGTCTGTGGTCGACATGATAGCACTTCCTGTTCTGACTCGATGTCCACCAAAAGTGAGTATAATATGGTCCAGAAGTAACGGACACTTTGACAAAGTTTTGGCGGCGACTACTGATCCGCCACCGAATGACACTTTGTTTCCAAGCCTTGAGATTAAACCATTGATGCCATGAATTGTTTGATTGTCTCTGAGAACGCCTTTCGGGGTTCTGTCTCTTACTCTGGAGGACTGAAAGAATAAAATACTCGACACGTTTTCGATGTCCACCTCTTCTATTGAATGATAAGATTTGACTTCAATACCATCAATGTCTGGAACCAAAAGCGATGTCAGACCTAATGGTGTAAACAATTTCATAAATGATAGTCTCATTAAAAGTTAGGAATAATCTAAAGAATACATGGGAATGAAGTTCTTTNTCAGTCACTAATTCATCCAATTAGTACCGTTGTCTCTAATCCTAGTGTTAAATATGATTCACCAGTAGATAAACTCGCAGAGTTTGTGCAGTCGGTTCATGCAGTTGTGGACGTAGTCGAGTGCTTCGGGCACTTCCGCGTACACCTTCTTCTTGATACCTGGATTCAAATTTGTTAATTAACTTTTAATTAAATATTTCACTCATTCATATTGATTTACACTTACGGTGAATTCATTTTCTATTAGTAAACCAACAGATTTTATGAATTAAGTTATACAACTTTTGATACACGTTAGCATAAGTATATGAAATTCAAACTATTCCTAATTGTTTTAAATATTATCAGATTCACTGTACTTTTGTTTGTTCACCAATGAATGTTGGTTTAAACTAAAAATATTTATTAGAATTTAAGTGTAATTAAGTATTAAATGTAAAATTATTCAGATTTATGTGATCTTTCAAATCGTTTGCCTTTTTTGAAGACAATCACTTGTATTCTTAAATAAATGGCAATAAAATTGAGAAAAATAAGAATAAGAATCGATGAATAGATAGTAATGTGGGAGTCATACATAAGACTTCCCAAAGGGTTGAACACAGTTTCGCATGGTCTCCGGAAGTGTTTGTTGTGACATATGGTCTGATTGGGTGCCAAACCCCCGCGACAACAGGAATCGGGAAATAATTTCTCTGAATTAGGACACGAACTGATAGTTTGTCTGTAATTGACGGACATATTCCACGCGCAACAGTCAAACGTCCGCTGGAAGTGATTCAGTTGCGTGAGAGCCGTCTTGAACTCAATGTTATCAACGGAACAGTAATTCAAATATTTTTTCCAATTATCATATCTGGTGTCAAATGCTTTCCTCCCGTTCCCCACATTCACTGTATTCTCGGGTACGAAGAAGAACCAGAGGAGCGCCGATATAGTGAACAACGAAATGATTAGACAACTGTTTTTGATGTATTCCTTTAAATAGTAAGAGCTTTGTTTGAAAGCCCCGTAAATGCCGAAGAAGAGAGCCCTCGCGTACTCCACCAGAAGTATGAGAAGCACTGTTTGATAGACAATGGATTGTATGGCCTTCTGCTCGACAATACTGGCGAAGACTACGACCAAAGTGTTGTTAAGACACCATAGGATTAGTGTAAAGAGCATCAGATTTATGGTGATTAGGATTATGATCATCCATTTGGCTACCGGTTTGTCGCGACTTGCATGAGAAAATTCTTGTGGATTTGTCGGATAATGTTTAACCATTTTTGTTTAATTATCAAATATAAACGAATAAATGAATAATATTTTAAACACTAGAAGTCCGTTATCGGTACAGAAACCATATAATATACCACATTAGATATTACAGAATATGAGACAATCGTGCAAACAATTAGAAATCGCATTAATAAATAAAATATAGATCAGATTTAGTATATTTAAAAGTCATTCAAAGTCAACATTAAACAAATAGTCAACAGTTTGTAAATAATACCACCAAAAGAAGTCCTCCATTACCCCTAATGGACCCAAAGATTAGTACAAAGTTAGTGCTCAGGAATCCATATCTGATCGCAAGAATAGTGAGCGAACTCGACATCAGATCTCTGTTCACAAGTCATTGTCTCTCAAAAGACTTTTTCTATGCGTCCGCTTATGAATACGAGAAACGCAAAGACATTATACATCTCTATCTCTTGAACTATGTATTCCACAAAGAATCGCCTATTTATGACTCCCAACGACTCATAGAGTCATTCAGTCATTACACCAATCGATGGCTAAATATGAGACCCAAACACGTGTTGGTTCTGATCGGAGGTTATCGGCAGCCAATCGATTACAGACGCAAAGAGAATAGTGTCCGACATATGAGTGCAGGACTTCCCACAGACTGTGACATCACTTACTTGGATGTCGGCAAGACTGTCCTCACGAGTTCTATTC